GGAGGAGGAGGAGGAGGAGGAGGAGGAGGAGGAGAAGAAGAAGTAAATCCTCCTTTGTCCACAGAAGCTGTGGAAAATGTGTGTCCCTCCAAGGTCTTTGTCCAGGTCAGATCCTTCATGCTCCAGGTGGAGAACACACAGGATATAAGCTCCCAGATCGTCTCAGATCTCTCTGAAGTTAGGGAAGTGCAGTTGCCAAGTTTTCACAATAATGAACTTGAAGTAGTTTCTGTTGCAAGTTGTACTCCCCAGAAACAGGAAGTGCTGGGCAATAACAGCACATCACCCAAACATACTCATTGCAAAGAGGAACATGTGGCAAAATCTGACCCACAAGCCATGCCACTAGAGTCAGAGAAAACTCTGCCCATCCAGGCTGCAAGTCAGGGCAGCAAAACAGCCCTCACAGCTGAATCCAGCCCCACCAACTCTCCTTGCAGCAGAAATAATTTAGAAACGCTGCAAAGGCCAGAGCAGAATGTAGTGAATGACCAGCACAGCCCTGCCAGTCTTTTGAATGTTTCTGCTTGTAGTGATGATAGTGCATTTGATTCTTCTGCTGATATGGAAAAATTCACTGAAATTATAAAAAAGATGGACAGTTCAATTTGTGTGCCCCAAAAGAAAAAGAAGGCCAGGGTGCCAAACTCTCCTGCCCCTCACTTTGCCATGCCACCTATTCATGAAGACAATTTAGAAAAAGTATTTGATCCCAATGTGTTCACCGTTGGTTTGGGGAAGAAAAAGGAAAGTCAGCCAGAGATGTCACCAGCTTTACATCTGATGCAGAACATCGAAGCAAAATCCAAACTGAGGCCCAAATGTGCATCCACCAAAGACAGTATCCTCTTCAAGTCCTTGAACGCTAACACTAATGGGAAAAACGAACCTGTGGTGGCTCCAGAAATAAATGACAAAGAGAACAGGGACACCACAAACTGTGGGGTTAAGAGATCTAGGCTAGAAAAGAGTGCACTTTTCTCAAGCATGTTATCTTCTACTTTACCACAAGACAAAATCTTTTCTCCCTCTGTGACATCAGTCAATACCATGACCACGTCTTTCAGCACTTCTCAGAACAGTTCTCTTTCTTGCTCTTCAGTGTTACAGCCGGTGACTGAGGGTGCCCCACCCTGTGGTTCAGACAAAGAGCAGCCAAATCTATCCAACAGCTCTTTCAAGGTCTTCAATTTCGACTCATCAACTACATCTCATTCGGGTTTAAAAAGCCCAAGCTACATGGAAAAATATCTCCAAAAGGAGGAAGCCAAAAAAGATCTGGATTCACAAAGCAACCTACACTTGCCAGAAACGAAACTTCCTGAATTTTCAAAACTTAAAAACAACAATGATACAGAAAAGGCTAATCATATTGAAAGCGTTCTTAAACCAAACCTGCCAAATGTTGGAAACAGTGACACAGGCTTCACGGGTCTTTTCAAATCCAGCCGGTATGAGCCAAACATGTCTTTTTCTGGAATGTCGTTATCAGATACAATGGTAAGTAGCAACATATTATGATTTGATGGGGGTATTTATAAGACAAGAGGAAAGAAGCATGATGGGCAGTTCATGTTATTCTTTTAGAAATGCTTATGTGAATGTATGATAGCTTTCTATTCATTCATCACATATTTGAAAACCTAATATGTATAAGGGACAGATAAGGTTCAAGAAGAAAGGTATTAAGCTTCTGCTCTCAAGGCATTTGTAGTTTAGCAGGGACAATAAGCTATGAATGTGTTAAGGTACTTGCAGACTTATACATTATATTGTGAAAGGTACTTTGAGAGCTCAGAAACAGACAAGATGCTTTTTTTTATCTAGTTTTGCATAGAAATGCTCAATGCTATACTGGTAGTGGACCTAGAATTTTAAGGATTTGTGAAGCAGCTTCCTTTATTCGGAAAAGCCCCAGCCAAGGAATCTCTTCCTTTGCTCTGTGAGATTCATTCTTTCTTCTCATAAACAGCAATAAGTATTTCTCCCATGCAGTTGAGATAGTGTTTTCTCTTTATTTGTAATTAGTTTTCATCAGGGAAATATTTTTTTTTCCTGCAAAGCTGTGGGGAGTAAAGAATTTTGGTTTACACTTGATCTTTCCTTTAAAAAGATTGTAATGGAAATGACAGCAAAAATATGATTTCGAGGAACAAGTGCAAAAATTTTTCCATCTACTTCTATCTGATTGCCAGTGGTTTTTTTTAACTCAGTTTTTGATGTGAATGTGTGCCCTTTTATTAGCAAATTTGATATTCAAGGGAAGACACTGAAAGAGAAAGGCCGAATATAAAGTGTTGAGGTCAGCGCTGCTGTCCCAGAACCATGGGTTACCAATTACGGAGTTGGTTCTCACTCATGGCGACCTCGTGTGTGTCAGAGTAGAACTGTGCTCCATAGAATTTTCAGTGGCTGCAGCCCTTTCTTCTGAGGCACCTCTAAGTGAGCTCAAGCTGCCAACCTTTTGGTTAGCAGCTGAGCACATTAACTGTTTGCACCTCCCAGGAATCTCTGTATTCCTGTGTGGCCCAACCAGTGAGCCAAGCTATTTGCTAAGTGTAGGCCATGAACCACCAGTTTATTCAGGCAGAAAATACCGTGCACCCTTCCTGTGTGTGCAAGGCACTGCAGCGTGTTGTAATTTGTGGTATTGGCTTTTGCTACAGGCCTATTAAAGAGTGTAGTTTTGGAAGCTCTTTCAAAATGTATAGTTGGGTTTCCAGCAAAGGCTCAGATCCCCTTTTCATGTGATTTTGTAAACCAGCAGGTCTCAGACTTTTTGGTCTCAGGACTCTCTTACACTCTTAAAAAATTATTGAAGACCCCGAAGAGCTTTTGTTTATATGGACTATGCCTATCGATATTTGCTATATTAGAAATTAACACAGAAAAATTTTAAAACACAAGAGCTGACAAGCACACATTCTGTTAGCTGTCATCACAAGTCATGGAGCACCTGGAAAACTCCACTGTGCACTTGTGAGAGAAAGAAAGGCAAATCACCGAGATGACTATGAAAATAGTTTGACCTCATGGACCCCAGAAAGGATCTTGGGACCCCTCTAGGGCCCCTGGAGCACACTCTGAGAACCACTGCTGTAAACAAACAAAACTGAATCAGCCCATAGCACTCAGAAGGCATGAGGTTCCTAAGTGTTTCTCACAGAATTTCTACTGGTTTGTTTTATCATAGCTGTACTCTCTTTTGTAATCATTCTTAGATCACGTATTTGACAAAGCCTCTTAACTGAGTCTGATGACAGAATATACCTAGTTTTCCTGTGGAGTCCCTTGAAAACCAAACCAAGTGGGGTAAAAAGAATCAAAATGCTTTATAATTTCATTAGGCCTAAAGGCTGATTTTGTTTATTTGTTTTGTTTTTCTTTAGTCCCGGACTTTGTTGACTATATTCTATCCTTAATCTCATATCTGAATTTTGTTTTACATTTCAGGCTTTTTCTTCAGCTTATCGACTTACATATAAGTATATATAATGTGTATATATAAGTAAATTAGTATATGCTATTTTGATTCCTAATAATGCTCTATGGGAGCCTTCCGATGGTCTTTGGGGCACATTCCACTCCAGTATGATGCAAGCAGTAAAGGGCGATCAGATCAAAGGCAGTCCTTAGAAGAGGCATCGTGGTCAGCATTGAAAGTAGTCCATGTTTTGCAATATTTTTACCTGTATAATTAGTATTTTATTATAGTATGCATTTCTGGTTTTACCAGTCTTGTCAGATGCTCTTAAAAATGGTTGTCTGGGAGCCATACAAAAATGTAGTTTATTCATCAAAAAGGGAGGAATAAGTATATAATGTACAATCTACATTGTGAAATATGCCACTTTTTTTAGATTAGTAGTTGTTATGTAATGGTAGATGTTACTATGAAAAAAACATAGATTCAGATAAGTTGTGTATATGAATAGATAAAATTAATTCAGCTCATTCTAGGTAGGCAATTAATACATTATACTTTCTCTTTATTTGAAACTATATTAAGATTAATTGAACTATAAATCTCTTAGGTGGGTTATTATTCTGTGAACTAACATAAAACATTTGTCTGACTTTGGGGCCCTGAATTTTCTAGCATAGGTGGACATATCCTAGACAGTTAAATGAGGAGAAATTGAAATGGCAAGTTGAGTTAGGAAAAAAAATAGCTCTTCATTTAATGGTATAAACTCAGAGAGAATTTTATTATTATTATTACTGTGCTTTAAGTGAAAGTTTACAATTCAAGTTCGTCTCTCATACAAAAATTTGTACGTACATTGTTATGTGACCTTAGTTTCCCTCCCTATACTGTGACAGCATACTCCTCCTTTCTGCCCCGGATTTCACATGTCTATTCAACCAGCTCCTGACCCTCTCTGCCTTCCCATCTCGCCTCTGGACAGGAGCTGCCCATTTAGTCCCATGTATCTACTTGAGCTAAGAAGCACA